AACAACTGCTCCAGGATTGGAGCCAGGGCCGGAACCAGTAACACAAGCGGCGACGACGGAACCGGTAAGAACACGGCGTCGGAACCGGCAACAAAAACGGCAAAACGGAATCGGCAACAAAAACGGCCCTGTCGTTTCCAGGGCCCACTGAGGAGGTAGGGTTAAGTCGGGCGTGTCCCCCTACAGGGGGCTTTTCGACGAAAATTCAAAAATACCCTCAAAAAACTACTCCAAAAAGGCAAAAAAATAGTAAAAAAATAGTCCCCATACTATTTTTTTACCATTTTGGAATATATGTATTCCCCCTGCCTTGCTCCCCCCCTGGGGAACAGCCTCCGCCCCTGGGGCGTCTCAGTGCCGTGGGTGCCTGGCAAGTTTTTCCTTGTCGGGGCGTGCCTGGCCGTTGCGCGCGGAGGCCTCTTCCGAGAGGCGCCGTCTCCGACGCCAGCGGCGCCGACGCCAACGACGACGACGCCGACGACGCCGATGACGTCGACGCCGACGTCGACGCCGACGACGACGCAAACGACGACGACGCCGACGACGTCGACGACGCCGACGCAAACGACGACGCCGACGCCGACGACGTCGACGCCGACGACGACGCAAACGACGACGCCGACGGCGCCAGCGGCGACGCTTCGAACACGAGCGGCCGACGCCTCCAGCCCCGACCAGGACCTGTCCCAGATGCGGCTGCTCGCGATCGCCTCCGCCGCCTGGTCGGCCGTGGTCCTGAGGGCTCAGTGGGCCCTGGAAACGACAGGGCCGTTTTTGTTACCGGTTCCGTTTTGCTGTTTTGTTGCCGGCTCCGACGCCGCTTCTTCACCGGTTCCGTCGCCGTTCTTTCACGGGCTCCCGCTCCGGTTCCAATCCTGGAGCCGCTGGTGTTGCCGTTTCCGGTCGCCGATGTTTTGCCGTTTCCATGTTCAAGGGGCACTCCTTCGGAAACGGTGGAAAAACGGCCCTGCCGTGTCCGGGGCCCACTAAGCCCCTACCTCTACTCTTCCCTCGTTCTCTACCTCTTCGGCCTCCAGGGGGTCCCTCGTCGCCACCGCTGGACTCGCCTCAAAATTCTGGTCAGAACGCACCCGGGGAGCGGTCCAGGGAGCAGCGGTACCGGTTCCTCGGAGGAGCCGAAACGGCGGAGGAGCCGAAACGGTGAAAAAAAGAAGGGCCCTGCCGTTTCCGGGGCCCACTAAGCCCGAGGGGTAGCGTCCTGGGGCGCGGGGGGGGGGCGGCTCAGGGCGGGCCAGCATCGGCCTGGAGTCGACGAGGCACCACCCGCAGCTTGCCATCGCTCGGACGTCCGTTCCCCGCGCATGGTTCGGTGTCGTGCCTTTTTTTTTTTTTTTTTTTTTTTTTTTTCTTTTCAGACGATCCATGATGCGCCTCGCCGAAGAGAACACGTCCGAGCGATGCCAAGGTAGCTGGGCGATAGGCCCTCGATAGCGAGACCCAGCGTGGTCGGGCGGGGTGCCCCTGTCGCCGATCCACTGGGTGGGCCAGTGGCCGACTGGGGGCCGATACACCCACACTGAGTCTACGTATCCCCCAAGGGTGCCCCAAGACGGCCGCAACATGTGTCCAGGAGGCCCCAAGAGGACCCCAAGAGGCCCCCAAGAGGCCCCCGAAGATGCCCCCCAAGAGGCTCCCAACAGGTCCCCAAGAGGTTCCCCAGAGGCACCCAAGACGCCCCAAGAGGCCTCGGCGAGGAGGCCAACATTATTGATGTCACTGAGCGTTTGGCGACATGTTTGCTCCCCTGAGGTCCCCCCCAGCCAGGCGAAGTTGCCCAGGATGACTGGCCGCCCTTCGTGCGCCTGGCTCATCGCGGCCACCTCGTTCCGTATCCACTCCTCCTGTGGTGGAGGGCCAAGACTCGGTGGGGAGCGAGGGGGGGAAGTGTGAAGGGGAAGGCCATCTCAGAAGGCGGCGGGACCTCTCAGAAGCCTCCGCGCCTTCTGAGAAGTTGTTTCTGTACCCTCGGGGAAGGCTTCGAACACTTCCCAAAGGCCGGGGGACTTCTGAGCCTTCTGAGGAAGCCCGTCCCGTCTCACTTCCCCCCCAGGCGCGCCGCCGAAACAGCAGAAAAAGCGCACCAGGATCGGGGGCGGGCGGCCAAGGGAGGGGGTGTGCAAGCGGGGGGGGGTCGCAAATCATGGCAGGCGGCATGTGCGCCGCCTAGGGGGTGGGTGGGCCGGGGGCGCACTGAAATGGGAATAGGCGCCACGAAATCGGGGGAGATATAACGGCCCCTGCCACGATATCCACCTCCCCCTCGTCATCCCTACCCCTTGGCCGCACCCGAACTGGCGCACCGGGAGGCCAGCCTTAGGTCGGGCATGTCCTCCTGCAGGCCGATCTGGAACAACAAATCAAAAACAGACCAAACTAGTCCAATGATCATCCAAACACCGTCCCTTACACTATCTGTTGGCTACTTCTGAATCTTGCTCCTGCCGAGGGACAGGCCCGACTGGAGGCCAGCCGCGCACACGGCCGGAGGCGGAGTGGTGCGCGGAGGGCGCGCGCGCGCGCCCTGCCACAGTTTGGACGCCCGAAATGGGTACCGAAAAAATGGGTACCATGCCCAACAGCAAATGTTGTCCCAAACCAACAGCGGCCGCTGTTGGGCAGGCGGCCTCCTGTCTCGAATGGACACAGGCCGCGGCGGCGCGGACAGCGAGGCCTGTTCAGAATGAACAAGATCCGCTGTTGGGCATAGTACCCATTCTTTCCGTACCCATTTCGGGCGTCCAGACACAGGAGGGCCGCGCGCGCTCTCGAAGGGCAGGCGGCCGCGGGCACGCACAGCCGGGCCCGGAGGCCCGAAGAGCATCCGCCAGAAGAATCGGGGCTCGCCCGACCCGGGTGCATCCGGACCCGGGTCGGTCGAGACCTGCAGGGCCCTGCGAGAGCCTGCGACATCCTGCACCCAAGCCCGGGCCAATGCGAAGGGTCGTGCAGGTTGAGCAGGGACCGACCGTCCCGGCATCCCCACAGTCCTACCACGTGAGATGTTCTTCGAACCCCAAAATGTTCGAAGAGCAGAAACGATGTTCTTGGAATATGAACCCGATGGCTTAAAACTAGACAGCCCCAGCCAGACATGTTCCAAGATCACTTCGTGCAGACCACAGGAGGTTCTTAGAACACCCTCTGGCAGGCCTATGGGCACGCCAGGACGCTTCGCCACTGCTTGAGCTGCGAAGGATCCTGCAAGATCCTGCGGGATCGCCTGCACCCAAGCCTGGGCCAATGCGACCCCTGGCATTGCAGGGTCCTGCAGGATCTGGCGCTCCCGGCTGACCCCCGTGTTTGCACTGGCCCCTGTCGCTCGAGCCTCCGTCTCAGGAGCAAGAGGCCCCTCGGCCGGCCAGAGCGCACAGGGCATGCCCTCTGCACGCCCGACGTGTCACTGCACCGCCCGTGCAGACGACGTGCTGCGGCGGATGCTCGCACTTGCTTCTGTCGATGCTGATCACCCCGAACCCGGCGAGCGAAAAGCGGAAGGGCTTTCACGCGGATCTTGTTTGTAGTCTTCCTTCCAGGCCGAAACTCATCCGCGCGGGATTCACTTCGAGATCCGGAGCGAAATTATCCAGGACATTCCGGGCCCATCCCAGTGTTTTCCGAGCGAAATCCGCTCTGCGATGTTGGCGCCATGAGACATGAGTACGAAGGAAAAAAGGGTACGATGCTCAACAACAGCTGTTGTTCAAAACCGATAGTGGCCGCTGTTAGGCAGGCGGCCTTCTGTACCACATGGACAGCGACCGCGGGGACGCCGACAGCGAACCCTGCTCAGGATGAACAAGAGCTACTGTTGGACCATGTGCCCATTGAGATTCCGTACCCATTTCGACCGTCCCGAATGCAAGGGTACCCTCCCAAGGGTGCAAGGGAACATCCAACAAGCACAAAGAACATCATGGTTTATAACAGGGGATCTGTCGACCCCTATCCAAAGCTTCTTGGGGTTTTAGATTGGACCAGAAATTTGGGGCCCAACCCTGGGATATGGGGGGCGCGCATCTTCGATAGGGGTGCGTCCGAAGAGCCCCCGGGGGGGGTAGCCCCGAGCTCCCCTCCTTTTCGAAGCGGCTTCGTTGTTCGTCGAAGCGTCGGGGGTTGGGGGCGAGAACCCGCCTGAGAGTATACACGTCGTGCATTTCTAATCGTGCTCGTTTCCAATTGTGCTCGTTTCTGATTGTTCCTGGCCCCCTGGTGGCCAGGAAGGGGCCCAGGATAGAACAATTAGAATGAAAGGACCTTGGCCCCCAACAAATCAAAGAACCTTCGAAACATTAGAAATGAACCATGTAGACCCTCCCCGAACTGACCTCGATCTGATACCCCGGTCCGACTGTATCTCCACCTCTCGCCCCGGCTGGCCGCGCAAGTGCGCATCCAGCTTCACATGGCAGCCTATACATCGCTCGCGGAAGGCGAGGCCCCGCGAACGGGGGGGGGGCTCCTCCTCCTCCTCCCTCCTCCTCCTCCTCCTCCTCCTCCTCCTCCTCCTCCTCCTCCTCCTCCCTCCTCCTCCCTCCTCCCTCCTCCTCATCTTCCTCTTCCTCCTCCTCTTCCTCCTCCTCCTCCTCCTCCTGCTCTGGTGAACCAGGCCACTGGCGCGCCCGAGGAAGCTACAGCCCTGGGCCCGCGCCTTATCGATTCCCCGTTTTCTCCAGCTGGAATGCCCACAGCCTTGTGTTGCAGCGTCGCAAAAGACTATAACCTTATGCTGCTTCCATCGTGCTGAAGGGCCACATCTCAGAAATAATCTCGAGCTCCTAGCAAAGTGCCGAAACAGAGTCGAACGAGTATCGCCTTCCAGGGCTCGAAGCGTGAAAACCCACGGTACTCTCTCGTGCTCGATTTTTTGTCTGGTGATCAAGGCTGAACTAGGTTGGAACATCATCACCATAAACATAGCTTCCTGGAGGTCCGCGCGGACTCCTTGGATCCGCGCTTGGCTCGGATCGGCGGCGCAGCAGGTGCCGCAAAGGAGGCCCCACGCAGACCCAAGAAACCCGTGCGGAACTCCGAACCACTGTGCGTGTGCAATTTCTCTTGCTTTTGCTGTCGACTCCCGGGGGCCCCGGAGGAGGGCCTGCTCCGCCCGCGTCGACCCCCTCCCCAGACCGCGGACAGATTTTGGAACTTCCTCCCCCGCGTTGATGGATTCTGGGGGCCGCCCTCGGACATCGGGGCTGCACATAAGAAAGGCAAGACGAAGCCAGGACAAGGAACAAATGAAGGGGCCCCAGGACACACAACAAAAATACACACAAGTAAAGATATCCCCCATATTTTCCAATATTGTCGAATATGTTTGGGGTGTTCGTCTTCCCCCCCCTTTTCCCTTATGTTCCCGTATTTTCTGGGGAATCAACGATTACTTGTGTCTGTGTGTTTTTCCCCTCCTGAACAAAGTCGTACCAAGACAGATCGGGGACCTCCTTGATATTCGGCGGTTCTGGAGGATGTACAGGGCGCCGCGGACGTCTCGGAGCGTTCCGGAATGCTCTGAGAGCGTTCTGGAAGGCTGTGCAACGATGTATCCCTGTCCTAGCCTGAGGTCGGGCATGTCCTCCTACAGGCAGATGTTGGAAGACCGTAAGAACAAAAGCAAGCACAGACAACAAAAATAGCCACAAGAGCACGAAACGTCGTCCCCAGACTATTTTTTTTTACTACTCTTGAATACTCCAACTTTAGAGGGACAGGCCCGACTTGATCCTAGCCCCGCCCGAAGGCCCCATCGGAGGCCCGACCCTCCCGAGAACCCTGGCCACGGGACCGGGCCTCTCGGGCAAGCCTCCCGCCCGCGGTCTCCCTCCTGGCTGGCGTGGGCGCTCGCCGGGCTCAGCAGCCACTGGTTCGTCGCCAGCACGTCCACGTAGTACGCCGAGGCGGGGTCGCTGCAGGCGGAGCCGCAGCGGGCCAAGAACCGCCGCAGCTCGTCCCGGGCCCCCCCGCCAGTGAACAGCGGGCTGGTGACCCGCGTGCCGCGCGCGCGCAGGGCCGCCATCTCTGGGGCCCACCTGTCCACGTGTGTCTTCCTCGAGGGGGCCCAAAGAAGAGGTTCCGGTAACGGTACCCTTCCCCCTCGTTTTCCCACCACGTCGGACCGCCTCGAGATCCTTGCCGGGAATCAGTATCGGTATACCCGTCGGTCCGAAGAAGTGGGTCGACTCATTAAGTAATTAGAAAGGCGTTGGAAATAACTTCCGCCTGCCCTCTGCAGAGGAGGGAGGAGGGAAAACCGCTCGACACTTGAAGTAGAAGGACGCCTGACGTAGATTGGAATGTGGAAATTCCAGAGTACCTAGCAACGACCGATGCCCATCTTTCGAAGGTCCACGCGCTGATTTCTTGGATCGACGCTGGACCCCCATTCCTTGGCGCGCAGAGCGCGCCAGGGACGGCGACGGAGGCGCCGCGAAGGCGCCGAACCAAGAATTCCTCGCGGTGCTCCGACAGTTCAGGTCTATGCCATTTTTATTCTTCGAGGCCAGGAACGAGCATCGGTATCCTTTTGTCCCCCAGGAGGGCAAAAGGAAAGAGGGAACTCCGATCGACACTCAAAGCAGGAAAGCCCCCATATCTATCGCTGCATCTATACATAGATGTACGTGTATGTATGTATATATGTATGTACGTATGTCTGTCTGTCTGTCTGTCTGTCTGTCTGTCTGTCTGTCTGTATGTATGTATGTATATATATATGTATATGTTTGTGTGTATGTTTGTATGTATGTATGTATGTATGTATGTATGTATGTATGCATGTATGCATGCATGCATGTTTGTGTGTGTGTTTGTTTGTTTGTTTGTTTACTTGTGTGTTTGTTTGGTTGTTTGTTTGTTTGTGTGTTTGTTTGTTTGTTTGTTTGTGTGTTTGTGTGTATATGTATGTATGTATGTATGTATGTATGTATGTATGTATGTATGTATGTATGTATGTATGTATGCACGTATGTATGTATGTATGTATGTATGTAAGTAAATATGTATGTATGTATGTGTGTGTATGTATGTATGTACGTACGTACGTAGGTATGTATGTATGTTTGTATGTATGTATGTATGTATATATGTATGTATGTATGTATGTATGTATGTATGTATGTATGTGTATCTGCATTTGTATATGTATACGTATATGTGTATATGTGTATAGGTGTATGTATGTATGTATGTATGTATGTATATATGTATGTATGTATGGATGCATGCATGTATGTATGTATGTATGTATGTATGCATGCATGTATGTATGTATGTATGTATGTATGTATGTATGTATGTATGTATGTATGTATGTATGTATGTATGCATGTATGTATGTATGTATGTATGTATGTATGTATGTATGTATGTATGTATGTATGTATGTGTGTATATATATATATATGTATTTCGATCTTTAAACTTTCAACGGCCGATGGCGAATTGGGACAATAACAACTCATAATTCTTCCCCGGACCCCTTTGAGGGTCCAGACGCACTAGTTCTCCCAGCTGCGCCCTGGCGTGGCGGCGACGAGGGGGCCCATAGAAAGCCAGCTGCCGCAGTCTCGACTCGCCCAATATGACGCGCCTGAAGTGGGCTGGACTCTGGGAACCCGGACTCTGGGAACCCAGACATACCTACTCACAACGACCGATGGGCACCTCTTTGCTCCCCTCTTCCATTGGTCTGCCGCCCATTCGGCGGTGAGCCCCTGCGTCGCGGGCTCGTCCCACAAGAAGAGGTAGCGGCCGCGGCACTCCTCCGGGCTCTTGCCGAGCCCGAAGTCCCGGGCGCACCGCCACGCCCCTCCCGAGTCCTGGTACCTCGGGCACAACCAGACAACGAATACCTTCAGATCGGGGCCTGAAAGCCTCTTCGCACCGGGCGCTCTCGCCCGGTTTCGGGCCCTGGGACTTCCACAGATGGATCCACCCGAGGCACGGCGCAGACATGTGGGGTCTGGGGGGCCCGTCGTGTCTTTTCGCGAGGCTGCAATCTTGTTCGCAACTTCGGCTTGCGGCGCGCACAAGGGAGTGGAGGGAAGGGGGGGGGCTTCTCAGAAGGAGGCTGCCTCTTAGAAGGCACCGGCCCTACATCTGACTATAGACAAGGCCCGCGCCTTCTAAGAAGCAGGGTTTGCCTCTAGGAAGCCCTCCCCCCTCCCCCCAGCCCCCTCTGCGCGCGGCTGATTCGGATCTCAGGGCACCAGTGGCTGCAGTCGTTGTTGATATTCAGGGTGCACATGTCTCTGTCCTCGGCGGCGAGGCCCTGCCAAGACTGGGGGTGGGTACCCCCGTAGCCCATGCACATGCGCTCGAAGCTGCTCCCCACCGCGGGGTCCATCGCCTCGAGGCGCGCGACCTCTCCGCGGCAGGTGTAGACGTCCACTGCGATGCCGCAGTACGGCACCCGCCCTGGCCCTGGCCCGGTCACCGGCGACGGTGTGGGCGCCGGTGTGGGGCTGCAGGAGCGCCTGTAGATGGTCGTGCACCCATAGTAGTCCTTGGTGGGCTCGCTGCCCGAGAAGCTCCTGTCTTTGAGCCAGCAGCCGCTCCACTGCGGGCAGAAGCTCGCGCTCATGCAATTCGCGTTTGCTGAGCACCCTTCCATGCACTCCGCTGGCGATGTGGTAGATACCGTTCCCACATCGCCGCCCTCGTCGATCGCCAGGCCTTCAAGCTTACCGTAGCAGTCCACCGCTTCTGTAGGCATAAGAGTTGGCACAGGCGTGGGTTCCTGCGTGGGCGCTGGCGTGGGCGCTGGCGTGGGCGCCTGCGTGGGTGCAGATGTGGGCGCAGATGTTGGCGCAGGTGTGGGCGCTGGCGTAGGCAACGGCGTGGGTGCAGGCGTAGGCGCAGTCGTGGGTGCAGACGTGGGCGTCAGTGTGGAGCTGCAGGAGCGCCTGTAGATGGTCCTGCATCCATAGTAGACCTTGGTGGGCTCGCTGCCCGAGAAGCTCTTGTCTTTGAGCCAGCAACCGTTCCATTGCGGGCAGAAACTCACACTCATGCAATTCGCGTTTGCTGAGCATCCCGCCCTGCACTCGATGGGCGATGTGGTAAACACGTAGTTCACATAGCCCACATCGTTTCCCTCCTCGACCGCTAGGCCATCTAGCTCCCCGTAGCAGTCCTCTGAGCCCATCGTGGGCTCGGGCGTGGGTGTGGCGGTGGGGCCACACGACGTCCTGTAGAAGGTCGTGCACCCGCTGTCGTCCCTGCTGGCCTCGCTGCCCGAGAAGCTCTTGTCTTTGAGCCAGCAACCGCCCCACTGCGGGCAGAGACTGAAACTGCTGCACCGCTCCTGGGCATCGCAGGCCGCCTGGCACTCGCCCACAGACGCGGTGGAGACCCGCGCCCCGACGCCGCTGCCCTCGTCCACCGCCAAGCCCTGGAACTTCCCGTAGCACTGCTCCGCCTGCCTGCTGGAGGCGAGCCGGACGAGACTGTGGCTCCGGAGCTGGGCCAGGCACAAGGCGCTCCGAATCGGCGCGGTGGCCTGGGCAAGCTGCAGTGGCGCCGCCAGGAGATGCAGCCATGCGGGGATGCCGAGCGAGGCCATCCCGATCCGCTGCGCTGGTCTCTGGGCGGCGCGAGCCGGAGGTGAGCTCCTCGGAGGTGGGGCAAGAGGGGCGTTGCTTGGCGGACAAAAAAAAAGCTACGGGGCAGCGCGTTGCGTCCAGCAGCATGTGGCCCTCTTGCCCCCCGGTGCCCCCGCTCGCGGGTTCCCAGTGGCGGGTGCTGGGGTGGCCATGGTGGATGCCACGTTCTTGGCGGCCCATGGCCCCGCGTTGCCCCCGCCCCCGGTGGTGGATGCAAAATCCTGCATCTGGCGGCCCCTCCTCCCCCCCCCCTCCCCTTTGCCCACGGCCGGCCCGGGCCGCGGAGCCTGGCCGCACTCCGCCCCCACAAACTTATTGTCCACCTCGGAGCGCCCCGCGGGGGCGAGGCTCCGCGCCGTCGTCGCCGACGCAACCGCCGCCGCTGCCGCCGCCGCAGTCGCCTCCGCCGCCGCCGCCGCAGCCGCCGCCGCCGCCGCCGTCGTCGTCGTCGTCGTCGTCGTCGTCGTCGTCGTCGTCGTCGTCGTCGTCGTCGTCGTCGTCGTCGTAGACGTCGTCGTCGTCGTCATATCGTTCTCCTCCCCCTCGTTCCATGAAACCGGAGTCCCTCGTTGACGCAGCCCTTCTCCTCCCTCCCTCCTCATCCCCCCTCCTCCCTCCTCCTCCGGATCCGCCTCCTCCTCCTCCTCCGCCCCTCCTCCTCCCCTCCCTCCTCGTCCCTCCTCCTCTCCTCCTCGTCCTCCCCTCCCCCTCCTCTCCTCCTCCTCGTCCTGTCTGTCTGATTATTATGATGATTCTTCTTCTTGCTCGTCTCCTCCTCTTCCTCCTCCTCTCCTCCTCGTACTCCTCCTCCTCCTCCTCCTCCTCCTCCTCCCTCCCACTCCTCTCCTCTCCTCCTCCTCCTCCTCCTTCTCGTCCTCCTCCTCCTCCTCCTCCTCCTCCTCCTCCACGGTTGTCCTTTAGAATGTTAACCAGCGTGGGCCCCAAATTATGTCATACATCGTGACGCAATATACGTGCATGGCGCAAGATATGTGGTGCAAGATGCGTGGTGCAACCGATGTGCAATCTGTGCGGTGCAATCTGTGCGGTGCAAGATTTGTGGTGCAATCTATGTGGTGCCACACGTGGTCCGATATATGCGGTGTAAGCTGTGTGGTTCAAACGATGTGCAATGTATTTGGTGCAAGATGTGTGGTGCAACCTATGTGGTGCAAGATAAGTGGTGCAATGTGCGCGGAGTAACCTACGTGGTGCAATATGTGTGATGCAATTCGCCCTGCCGAACCTGAGAAGATCGAGTCCACAGACCGCGCAATCATCCCACGCACCCGCCCGCAACTTGGTTTGCAAAACCCATGCGGCGACGACTGCGATGCCTTCTTGGCGCTGGCTGGCACATCGCTGCGACGGCGCTAGCGCGAGAAAGCTCGACAACAGAGCGGCCAACCGGTCTGGCGCGACCGACGCGGCCGCGGTGGCCATGACCGCTGCGGACTGCCCAGCGCGTCTCGCAGGCCGCGCTGACGCGCTGGCATTTCAGTGCGAGTCGGTTGCTCGGACGCCGCCAACGGCAGACACGATGGTGACAGTACCGATGCAGGCGGCGACGATGAAGACAACGACGGCTGCATGGCCAATGATGGCGCCGATGGTGATCACGCCGATCACGATGATGGTGTCCTCGGTCGGCGATGAATGCTTGGACGGGTTTTGCCATGCGCGCGAATCCGACGGGCGCGTGTGGCCTGCATGATTTCTTTGACAGGGATCGTGCCCCCCCCCCCCCAGCACGCGCGCAGGGGCGTTCGAATGATTTCGACATGCGCACGCGACGAGGCCCGATTAAACGAAATTGAACATGCGCGCGCGACGCGCGCGTGTGGACTTTGCCTGATATGTTCGCCAGGGGATCCTGGCAAATTACGGTTGTTCTAAAAGAGTGCGCGCGCATTCCATTATTTGACGAAGATGAGAAGAGGGAAGAACCCGGTGTGGCTAGGATGATCTGGATTCATATCTGATACGCACAATGGGGGCAACATCGCATGTACATTGCACATTGCACGCCCCGCACGGGGTACCGATAAAACCGTGGCGGGGGGAGATCATAGTGTGTTGTATTGCTGGTGGTGCGATATATATATATATATATATATATATACATATATATATATGTGTATGTATATACATATATATATATGAATGCACATGCTTTTAGTGTATACATATATATATGTACACATCTGTACGGTGCAGGAAATATTGTCCAATACATTTGGTGTAGGCTAAGTGGTGCAATACTTGTGGTGCATCCTATTCGGTATAGCCAGCGTGGTGCAATATGGGTGGTGCAATATCTGCGGTGTAAGATGCGTGGTGTTGTATACCTGGCTGGATGTATGCGATGCAAAATGAGATAGGTAGCGTGAGCTATGTGATGCACGCTTCGCGATGCAATCTAAGTTGTGTCAGCTCGGATTTGCGGGATACACAATGCAAGCTACGTGGTGCAATCTATCTAATGGTCTTCGGCCCATCCCGCCAGCGTGCCTGGGTGTTGGGTTAGAAGCCGCTTGGGTCTTCGTTTGGATATCGTGGGGGGCCTCTCGGGGGCCTCTTGGCCTCTAGGGGGCCGTTTTGGGGTCCCGTGGGGCCCCTGTTTGGGCCTCTTGGGGGCCTCGTAGGGTCTCTCGGGGGCCTCTTGGGCTCTCTTGGGGACCTCTTGGAGCCTCCTGGTGGCCTCTTGGGGCGGAACGCTCGAATTGTCGGTTCGTGTTCCCCCTCTTGGGCCCCTGTTGGAGCCATTTTGGGGACCCCTTGGGCGATGGGCGCCTCGTGGGCCATTTTGGGGCCCTCTTGGGCCGTCTTGGGGCTCGGTTGGGGGCGTATTGGGCCGTCCTGGGGCGGTCTTGGGGGCCTCTGGGGTCATCTTGGAGCGTGGGGACGCGAACCACGTAAACAAACACGGGGGATCAATGTCAATGATTTTGGCCTCCTGGTGGCCTCTTGGGGCGGAACGCTCGAATTGTCGGTTCGTGTTCCCCCTCTTGGGCCCCTGTTGGAGCCATTTTGGGGACCCCTTGGGCGATGGGCGCCTCGTGGGCCGTTTTGGGGCCCTCTTGGGCCATCTTGGGGCCCGTTTGGGGGCGTTTTGGGCCGTCCTGGGGCGGTCTTGGGGGCCTCTGAGGTCATCTTGGAACACATACACATAAACACATACGGGAACGCACAACACATACACACATAAACACATACGGAAAATCAATCATTTTGGCCTCGTGAGGTCCTCTTGGGAGGCCCCTTGGAGGTCTCATGGGGCGTCTTGGTAGCCTCTGGGCATCTTACAGACTCCTCAGGAGTGAGGACAGGGGATAAGGCAAACGACGTGAGGACACGCCCACTTCGTGCCCTGAGGCACGGTGGCGGATTAGGCACGAGCTACGGCGTACGAGCTACATTGTGCAACATATGTAGTGCAAACCGCCTTGCAGAACTTGATATGTCAACTCCACTGCTCGCGCAACCATCCCACCTCCCCGCCCGCGACTTGGTGTGCAACACCCATGTGGCGGCGATCGCGGTGACTACTTGACACTGGCCAGAGCATCTCTGCGGCCGCGCAATTTCGCGCAAGCTCGCGGGCAGAGCGGCCAGCTAATCTGGCGCGACCGACGCGGCCGCGGTGGTGCTGCCCGTTGGGGATTTCCCAGCGCGTCTCACTGGCCACGATAGCGCGCGGTCACTTTAGTGCGGTCGGTAATTCATGCGGGCGCGGTATCATGGTGACGCCGACATGATGGTGACGATGATGGCAATAACGACGGGAAAACCAATGACGGCGCCCATGCTGGCCACGCCCATGACGATGATGATGTCTATGTGACGCTGGTGAACGTGGAGGGGTTTGGTCATGCGCGCCCGAATGACCCGCATGGTGGTTTTTGGCAGGGATGCCCCCCCACCCCCAGCAAGCGCGCAAGAGCATCCAAATGAGTTCCACATGCGCACGCGAGCAGCCCGCGTGGTGTCCCCCAGCATTCGCAGGAGTGAGCGCGCAGATTGTTCTGGACAACAATGCGTGACCTCGATCTTGCAATCGTTGAGAGGGCGATGATTTCGGACGGATGTCGATCTGCGGGCGCGACGACGCGCGCGTGCTCCGCGCACCGCGTAAGCAGAACCCCGGCGACGCGCTCTCCGTGCGCTGCGAGATGTGGCAGCCTGCCGCCCCGCCCCACGGGGTACGGGAGGGCCAGGAAGAGCTCGGGGACGCTGACGAGGAGGAGGAGGAGGAGAAGGACGAGGAGGAGGAGGAGGAGGAGGAGGAGGAGGAGGAGGAAGAGGAGGAGGAGGAGGAGGGGCACGTGGCCGGCGTGCTGCGCAGAAGCTCGGCGGCGAGCGAGGCGGGGAAAATGAGAAGGAGAAGGCCTCCTCAGAAGGCTCGGAGGCCCCCCGGCCTTCCGAGAAGTCGCCCGAAGCCTCCCTCGAAGACACGGGGAGCTCCTCAGAGGGCGCGAGGAGAGGGTTCCTGAGAAGTCCCGCCGCCGTCCGAGAAAGACTCCTCCTCCTCACCTTCCCCCCCTGGCTCGCCGCGCCGAGAAGCGTGGTGGGTCAAACCTGGCGGCGCGACGCGCCGAGCCAGAGCTTCTGGTGGCGCCTCGGCGTCGTGGCCGCACCCTCGCCCACCGGGCGCCTGCGGGGCAGAGGGCGCCTTCCGCGAGGCCCTCGCCCAGCGGCTGGCCGCAGCCCGCGGACCACCCGCCGCGGGCACGCCCGCGGAGGGCCCCCCGAGAGCGCTGGATACGGCGGGCAGCGTCAATCCTCGATGCTCCTCGAGCCCTGGACTGCGAGGCGGGCGGCCGGGGGGATCGATTTTGGGAACCTCGACAGGCGGTGAATATGCATGTATACACAGAAGGCGGTGGACACACACACACACAACCACACACACATATAGGTATATTGCACATGCATATATGTTTACGCATTGATGTGCATACATGGGATGATACATGCTCGAATGTACATATCCATGTGCGCATACAACACGATCTATGCACGCGAAAATGTGTTACGTCGTTATATACAACACATCTACGAAATCTACACCATACATCTGCGTTTGTGTATTTGCTATATATATATAGAGAGAGAGAGAGAGAGAGAGAGAGAGAGAGAGAGAAAGAGAGAGAGAGAGAGAGGGAGAGAGAGAGAGAGAGAAAACAAATATAGATATCTATATACTTGTACTGTTGCCCCCAAGGCCCGAATTCTTTTCGCATACACAGCCGGGTGAGGTCACCGGAGAGTGCTTCCCCTGGCGGCGGTGATGGAGACACCCCCGCCTCGGATGGACCCCCCAAAGAGGCCTGGGCTCGTCATCTTCCTCGTCCCCCCTCCTCGCCCCCCCCGCCCCCCTCGAGCTGCAAACATGCCAAAGAAAAACGGGCCCCGACGGGCAAGCAGAGGGGCTTGATTAGGTCGGGTATGTCCCCCTACGGGCGGATCTTGGAAGAACAACGAAAAATACGGGTAAACAAATATTCAAACATGCATACTTGAAAATAATCGAATATCGTCCTCCCCAGACTATTTTTTAACTATGTTTGAATACATCCCCTGTCGAGGGACAGGCCGGACTTAAGCCTTGGACCGCGCCCGCACCTGATGTTCATCCTCGCACGTTTTGCTGACGCCTGGGGGGGGGGGGGGGGCCCTCGAAGCAAGGGCGCCACCCCAGAGAGATCCACCGCGGCGGACTTCCTTCATGGCGGCATAGGGGGCCCTCTGTCCCGCTCCTCGCCTCCCTGCGCCCCCGACGGCTGGGGCTGCCGGCAGGAGCGAAGCCGATGTGGTCCCAGCCGTCCTTCCAATCGAAGGTGAGGTTCTCGGCCCGGGAGGGAAGGGGGGCAGCAGACCTCTGGCAGCTCTATCAGGTCGGCGCGCGCAAGAAGGAGGCGGAGGAGGAGGAGGAGGAGGAGGAGGAGGAGGAGGAGGAGGAGGAGGAGGAGGAGGAGGAGGAGTGAGGAGGAGGAGGAGGAGGAGGCGGAGGAGGAGGAGGAGGAGGAGGAGGAGAGGGAGGAGGTAGATAGAGCGGCATTGGGGGGCAAGGCAGTGCATTCGGCCGCAAGTCTGGGCCCCCGCCGTCGCCGCTCAGAGCGGCACCTTCATTGTGATCACAGCGCCACGCACGCCGATCACCTTGCCGAGCGAGGCGTAGTCGTGTCGGCCATCCATATTCACGAACCCGAGGTCAGAGCCCTGCCCACCATGTAGCCAGCTCGTCCTCCGTGACTCCCGCTGGTGGTATGCCCGTCTGCACCGTAGCTCCCACAGGGGGGGGCGCTCGGAAGGTGCTGTCCTTCTTGTTGCTCGGCTGCTTCTGCTCCTCTGGGGGATCCTCCTCGGCCTCCGCGTCGGTCACGGGCCCCTGCTCGACGTACAGTGTGATCTTCGCCTGGTTGCTGTCGTGGCACATGCTGATCTTCGGGTATTTCACTTTGTTGAGGACGGTCGCCACACTAAACTGGTCCTCGAACGTCCCGTGCTCTGTGAGAGCGCTCTTGGTGTTGGCGCCCACGTCCTCGGAGCAGAGGGTCGACTTGAGCGAGAGCCCCTTGCCCGCCTCAGAGCACTTGTCCGCGTAGATCTTCCTGCAGGCTCGGAGCGCCTTGATCACCTTGGTCTGAGGCGGCAGCGGGGACGAGCCGTAGACCGCGGAGACGTCCCTACCGATCTGCTGAGAGTAGACCAGCCCTTGCTTGATCGCCACCGTGAGCAACTTCTTCAGCCTGGGGTCGCACTTGGTCTGATAGGCTTCTCCTCCTCGTTGTTGGCGTCGTATGACGACGCGACGCCACTGGGGCCAGCAGCCGTGAGCATGAGGTGGAGGTGGCCTCGGCTTGGACTTGCACCGAAGCTGCATGCAGGGGCGGCGCCAGAAGGGAGGCGGCATGTGGAGTGTGCGCAAGCCGAAGACCGTGGGCTTGCTGTTATTCTTGTCGAGGGTGCGGCTCTGGCTGTGGTGGGCATCGAGTGGGGCGAAGCCGACGCGGTACGCGTGGTTGAGGACCGACTCGAAGCTCTCCGGCTTGAGGAGTGCCTCGGCGAGCTCGTCGTCGTAGCCCACGCCAGTCGGCTTCGGCTTCTGCTTGGTGATGTAGGTGGGCAGGAAGGTCAGCTGGAAGTTCTCTGCGGGCACTGGCCAGTCTGGCACTGGAGCACGCTTCTGCTTCTGCTTCTCGATGAGGCGAGCGAGGACCTCGATCTGGCACTCGGTCTCGTAGTTGGGGTCAGTCTCGGTGTGCTCCTCTCTGAGATTGAAGCGCGCCTGGAGTAGCCGCAGACGTTCCTTCATGAGCAGGTAGTGTAGGCCGAGCTTGGGCTTCTGGCGCTCGAAGCGAGGGAAGGCTGTCTCCTTCATGATGTTCACGATGAGCTCCCCGTGTTCGTCCGCTGCGCGGACCCCGAGCAGCTGCTGCTTCTTGTCCTGGTGCTTGGCGAAGTTGAACTCCTGCGCGCCATCGAACTCCTTGCGGTATTTGCCCTTCTGCAGGGCCAGGGCCACCTTGTCGTAGTCCCAGGCGGTCCTCTTGAGAACGGTGACCACATTCGGGAAGCTGTCGTTGGCGGCTGTATTATGCAGGGCGTGGTCGCGCGGCACGTTGTCATTGATGAGAAAAGGTGCCTTGGCCGTACGCCTCCGGCCTCTGCAAAAAGTAGAATGGGAGCATTGGCCGTGGGGCAATGCGGTGTGGTCGGGACTTGTGGCCTGTCCAAGGGCACCGATGTACTGGGGCCCTGAATACCTGAAATGGAGCAGGATGCACTTGCTGTGCACGACGGGCACGAGGTGGAAGGCAGCGGAGGTCTCTCCATGTACTCCTGTAGGGCCTGCGTCGCCGCTCGCGTAGTAGGGCGAGTCGGGAAGCAATCCTTCCTGGCCGTCGTGGTCGTTCAGGCGAGGAGGAGGAGGAGGAGGCCAGCGTAGAACAGGAGGAGGAGGAGGAGGAGGAGGAGGAGGAGGAGGAGGAGGAGGATGGCCCATTCGCCAGAGTGGCCTCTGGTGCGCGGCGCAGCCAGGACCGCACACGCGGGTCGCCGCCGTCGCATCGCACGGCCGCCGTCGGCAGGCCGCGCACTCAGAGGCCACGCGCGCCGGGGGCCACGCCCGCGCGCGATCGAACGGAGCGCAGGGAGCGGTCCGAGCTCTCGGCATCGTTGGATGCTCCAGATTTCGTAATAAAAGGGAGGGGGTCTGGACCCTCCAAGACGAGCCATTTCAGACCTCCCCCGTGGGAGAACCCTCCAAAACATCGTCCCCAGACCCCCCCCAGGCCCTCCAAGATAGCCTGGAAGAGACCCCCCCGAAGTGAGACCCCCCTCCCTTTTATTACGAAATCTGGAGTGCTCATTCTGGGGGCCTTCCTGGAGGCACTCTCCGCTCGCGCGTCGAAGCTGGGTCGAGCGTCCGCCGATGTGAGTCGACCCCGAGTCGAACCTGAGCCGTATTTGAGTCGTATTTGGGTCGAACTTGAGTCGAACTCGAATCGAACAAGGGTCGACCTGGAGTCGAACAGATCCGCTAAGTGGGCCCCAGGAAGGCCCCCCAAAACGAGCATCTGGGCATCGGGACGAGGCGGCCCCTGGGCCCCCCCCCCCTGGGGGCCGTCTGACGGTGGCTCGTGGCCAACATGCTGGCCCGTCGGAACAGAGATCGAAAGGCCCAGGGCCCAGCGGCTCGAGGACGCTGGGCGACCACACGACGTGCGCCCTACCCTCAGGTCGGGCATGCCCCCCTACAGGGGGATTTTGGACGAAAAATGCGACGGCCCACCGGGCCAAATGCGTGCTAAGGTCTCCGGCAACTGGCTACCACAATATTCTAGTTCGCGCGCGCAGCGCGGTTTCTGGGGGCTCCCGCGCGAAGACTGCCCCGAGCAGGTCCCGGCCAGTGCAGCTCAGAGATGGTGTTCCTCCTCGGCGCTGCCATCCAGGCCTCCCAGGGCGCTCCAGGAACGCGCCAAGAAGGCTCCGAGTCGCCCCCGAGACGGTCCAAGGGGCCCCGAGTCGCCGAAAGATTGCTCCAAGACGCCCATGCTGGTCTCCAGACGGCCCTAGTCGCCGCCGAGAAGCTCCAAGAGAGCCTCAAGAGGCCCTCCAACAGTGCCCCAAGAAGCAACAACAAATCGTCTCATTGCCTTCAGAAAACACACATTTCTGGCATAGACGACGTTCGGAGGTTCATGGCGTCCAAGAGTGCCCAAGAACCCCCTAAGATCGCCCCAAGATGGCCTAACATGCCCCCAAGATGCGCCCACGAGGGCCCAAGAGGGCTCCAAGACGACCCAAGAGGGCTCCAAGACGGCCCAAGACGCCCCCAGAGAGGGAACTCGAACTTACACTTGAAGGTTTCCGACCCCAGGAGCCCCTCCGAGACCGCCAGCAGCCTCCCAATAGGCACGCAGAAATCCCAAGAAGCCCCCGAGAGGCCTAAAATCAAGCCCCCAGGGCACCCAAACGGCCCTGATGAGGTCTCAAGAAAGGCTTCCGCGACACCTGCCAGGAGACCCCAACACCGCCGCATCAAATGTCCCCTGCGCCCAATCGACAAGCCCCAGAGTCAGCATTTACGACCAGCAACCCCCCACGAAGGCACCCGAAGTCCAACAACGCACCACACAACAAGCCGCCCCGCGAAAAGCGAAGGATTCCCCTCACAACTCCCAAGAAATCCAGACGCATCGCCTCAGCATCATGCTCCACGTAACGCCTCAGAAAACAGCCGACGCCCCTGCAACTCAATACCGCCAACGACCACTCGGCCAGTCGACGCAGCAGTGCCCAAAAATGGGCCGGCGGAATGAACGAAGCGATTGAATAAAAAGTAACCAAATAATGCGCAACAGAAATTCAAAAATTGTCAAAACATCGTCCCCACACTATGTTTTGACTATTTCTGGATATTCCTCCTGTGGAGGGGCACGCCCGACTTAACCCTACCCCTGCAGGTCCCGTGTCCGAAGCGCTGGCCGGGGCTCAGACTTCGCAGGAGTTCTCTGCAGCACAGCGAGCCCCAGCCGGGGGGTCCGATGCCCCAGCCGCGAGTGGGCCCGCAGGGGCTGGGTTCGCATGCGGTCGCAGACACATCGTGCAGACACAATCCACTGGGCCGTCCACCTTCGCACACCGCGCCCCGCCATGCGCGACGCGCGGTTCTCTGCGCGCTGTCGCGCCCTCGCGCCGCGGTTTTGGAGAGGGGCGGCCGCGCTGGCGCAGGCCGCGACACAGGAAGCCGCAACGGCGGCGGGGAAGGCTCCTCGGCCCAGAACTCCGCCGCGGCCCGCAGCAGCCGCGCGTGCGGCCGCACCGCGAAGAAGCCCACGTTCATCGGCTCGCCCGCGCCGCCGCTCGCGCCTCGGCGGAGGAGGAGGAGGAACTGGAGGAGGAGGAGGAGGAGGAGGAGGAGGAGGAGGAGGAGGAGGAGGAGAAGGTCTCTCGGCCCCTCGAGCTCCGGCAGCGCCCGGAGCCGCCTGCGAGTCCAGGCTTGCTCTCAACCCTCGAGGGCAAAGCCGAGGCCAGGACGAGGAGAGAAGCGTGCGAGGATGCGGTCGGGCCTGGGACAGAAAAAACTCCTTCAAGAGCATGTAGGGGAACAAAAAGTGACATACATAAACATAAAACTCGGAGGTCCGCGCGGAGTTCTCGGATCGGCGATGGATCCCCTAACATGAGAGCCTCCGCAGGGCAAACCAACCCAAACCATAAGATCACTCGAGGGTACCATCCCAGGATGCGCGAGATCGCCCAACAAGCACGACGAACACTAGGGTACCCCTCCCCGACGCGACCTCGATCTTGTACCCCGGTCCCACTGGCTGTAAGCCGAGACTCTCTGAGATCTGGCGGCTCTGGAGGATGTCTCGGGCGCCGCGGCCCTCTGAGAGCGCTCCACCATGCTCGGGGAGCGTTCCGGGCACGCTCTGGCACGGACTCATCCTCGCCCTAGCCCCGTGCGAACGGTCGGGGGGTGGAGTTCGGCTGGAGGCCTCTGGGGACCTCCAGGGGCCTCATGTGGGTCAGGATCGGGGGCGGGAGCAAACCCCGCCACGTCGACGGCGCCACCACCGCTGCCGTCGAGTAGTCGCCGTCGGCTCCGTCGGCCCCATCGGCCCCGTCGCCATCGGCGTCGGCGTGCCGTCGTGTCGTCGGCGACGGCGACGGCGTCAGCGTCGAGTCGCTGGTCGGCGCAGGCGCAGGCGCCAAGCGACGGCGAACTCTCTCCACAGAGAGTCGTCTTCGTTTTCGTCCTCCCGGCGACTCCTCGCCCTCCTCTTATCCGTCTCCTTCCCTCTTGATCTCCTTCTCCTCCAACTTCCCATCCTGCTCCCCCTCCATCTCCTATTCTCCTCCTGCTCGTCTTCCTACTTGCATGTCTCCTCCTGTTCCAAACTTGATCCTTATTATATTGTTCAATTCCGCCCACCCCTGCCCAACAACCCTCAACTTTCCAGCATCAAACGTGTCTTCGCATCCGCATCATACTCCTCCTCTCCTCGTCCCCCTCTCAGGTTATTATATTCCGTATCAGGTATCCTCCAGGGTACTTTCTTCTCCTCCAGCTGCTACCTCCTCCTCCTCCTCCTCCTCCTCCTCCTCCCTCCTCCTCCTCCTCCTCCTCCTCCTCCTCCTCCTCCTCCTCCTCCTCCTCCTCCTCGTCCAGGGCGCCGAGTGCGGCCGAGCGGGGCGCTCAGGAACCGGCCGGTCGCGGCGCACAGCAGCGCTGGGGACACGTCGCCCTGGATCTCGATGTCCTGCCCGAGCTGGGACCAAGACAGAAACGAGGCAGCATCACGAAGCACGAAGCACGAAACACGAGGGCACCGCCTAGGGTGCTGCAGGTGCGGCGCGGGAGCGCTGGAGCGTCGGGAAGCGAGGCCTGATCAGATGTTGCCCGTGAAGCTGGAGGTCATGCCTCTGAGGCTGGAAGTCGAGACAACATCGCGCCGATATACTGCATCGGGAATCTCCGAGAATTGGCGGGACTGGAGGACGTATCGGGCGCCGCGGCCGCTTCAGAGCGTTCTGGAACGCTCTGAGAGCGTTCCGGAAGGCTCTGGACCAGACTTCTTATCTCGATTCCAGGCCCGTTCGACGAGTGGAGGTCGGCGTTGTCGTCGTCGCCGCCGCCGTCGACGTCGTCGCCATCCTCACTCCCCAGGCCCCCCCCCGTCGTGAACAGCAACATGGCGGAAAATGTTTGGCCGTTGTCGGCCTCTGTAGGCCCTCGCCGAGTCCCAGGGCCATCAGGCCATCAAAAAACGACTCGGGATGAAAAACGCGGCCCCCTGGCAAGGGGCGGAACTTCGAGGACCCCGCTGCGAACAAAATCAAGACATCGCAAATCAGGGTTCTCCTCCTCCTCCTTCTCCTCCTCCTCCTCTTCCCTCTTCCTCCCTCTTTCCCTTCTTCTCCAGCTCCTCCAGCTTCTCCAGCTCCTGCAGTTCCTCCAGCTCTTCCAGCTCCTTCAGCTCTTCCTCCTCCTCCTTTTCCTCCTCCTCCTCCTCCACTTCCTCCTCCTCCTCCTCCTCTCTTCCTCCTCCTCCTCCTCCTGCCTCTTCCTCCTCCTCCTCCTCCTCCTCCTCCTTCTCCCCCCGAAGGGCAAGCAACATTTGAGGAAGTGTGTGAAGAACTGCATCCCATTTTGGATGTATTTCGTTAGGTTGTTCCTGGCTGCGCCATTGGTTATTCCTGGCTGCGCCAAGCCTGGCTGCCCTCGCTCTCTCTCTCTCTCTCTCTTGTTTCTTGCCCACTTCGGCTTTTCACGGATGATCCTGCTGCCCTTTTGGCTGTTGGGCGATTCGCTTGGTTCGGCTGTTCTCGGCTGCTTGGGATTTGGTTGCGTCTTACGCGAAACAAACGGGAGATGGCACACATCGCGACCTTACGCGGTGGCTTACGCGGGCGGCCAGCGCGGCACGCTGCACTGGAGACGAGGGCGCTTACCCGCGAGACCTCACGCGGGCAGCTGACGCTGCGCAAGCGACCCCTGTTTTGGGCGAGCGCGTTCCACCACTCGCAAACTAGCTACTCGCAAATGGCCTGGGGTTGCCACGAAAAGCTTACGATACGTTACGCAAAAAGAAACCATTTTGCAGTTCGGACGTTTGCGGCTAGTTCGGTGATGTTGTCTTGCGTCGTTCACATGGTTCGTATTCGTCGTTTCGACATTGGGGGAGAGGAGGTCTGGCTCTGGACCTCTGATGACTGCGACTGTTTGCAACAGTGCGTCTCATCGGGGAGAATCCACGTGCCCATGGGGGAGGCTCCGCGTGCTTGACACGGACGCCGTATACAGCCGAGATTTACTCCACGGGCCGGGGGGGGGGCAGGGGGGAACGACGGCCCGCGCCGATCGACAAAACACAGAACACAAACAAAAACGACATGTCCCTTTGCTCCAAGCTTCTTGGACTTTGCCCCGTTCGGCTGAGTTCAGCGCTGCGCCTGGCCGTGGCCGCCCCTCGTGGCTCGCCGCTGCCCTGCCTGGCCCCGTGTGACACTTCCGATTCACGCGCGTTGCCCCAGCGCTGCTCGGCCCGCGGGCGGTATGGCTTGGCGGGCTGCGGAAACCCTGAAACCCAGAAGCGTGGTCATTTCTTCGGGATGCATGCCTTACCTCCGCCACCTCCCGCCGCGCTTCCGCCGGATTCCACCCGCGGAGGCAGCCTGGCTTTGCTCTTTACTTCCGCCGCGCTGCTCCTCCAAGGACGGCGAGGCCCCTTCTGAAAATCACCGCTTGTATGACTGCATTTTTTGATTCGTGGCCATAACGGGCGTTGCGGGGGTGGGGGGAGAGCGGGGGGCGGGGGCGCGAGGGGGCGCGGCGTGCCCACCCCCCCGACTGCGGTGCCGGGCGCGCTGCGGCAACGCCTGGGGCGGGGCGCACTGAGGGGGGGGGGCGCTATGTCATGGGAGGGGGGGTGGGGTAGGGGGGCAGGGGGCATGGCGCGAGTCATGGCCTGGAGGGTCATCGCGGTACAGAGAAACCCACATACTTATAATATGACTGGCGCGGTGTGGCCGACGCTTCGCCGATGCCGTCGGTGGCGCTGGTGGCCTGACTGCCCTGTGGGGGGCCCAGAAGAAGGCAAAAGCCTGGGCGGCACTGGCTATCCTGCATTTTGCCACAGCCAACTGGCTGGGAAAAGCGGGGCCCGGGCGGGCGTCGCGTCATATGGAACGCACCAAGTGGGCCCAGAACACAGCAAAAGCCTGAGGCGACGCAGGGTCCCAAGAGAGCAGGGCCGAGGCCAGGGATGATATGCCACGCCTGCTATGCCCTGGACGACACTCACGGGCAACGGCCGCCCGCAAACCCCACCGCCTGAGCACCCCCTGAGGTGTCAAGAATATGCCGCGCCCGCTACGCCCCGGACGACCGTCACGGATGGCGAGCGGAAGGGGGCATCTCTGTGTCAGCAGCGGCGCCGCCGGCCTCGCACACTCGCCGAACCTTCGCTTGCAGGCCTCGGTCGTCGTCTAAAAGAGCCTCCTGAAGGGATCCGCCGGCGCGGGGTTCCACAGGTACGCCACCAGGCACTACCTCTTGCCGTCGACGTTCATCTCGGAGTACTCCGCGTAGGACGTTATCGGGCCACCAATTGCTATGCTGGCGGCGGTGTGCAGTCAAAGCGGACTGAATCACTCCGTTGGCGCATCTGCTCGAGGTCTCCTCGCTGCCCTCGCCGCCCATCTGAACGATTGCAGTATTCATCGCCAGACGCGGAGGTGGCAGCGCGTCCACGGCGATGTTTGGGGGCATGGTTGCCGCGCGCAGTTTGGGCGGCGCCCTGAAACAGGATTCCAAGAGCGCATGCGTGAGAGCGCAGGCGCGCCGAGCCGACTTGAGCCAAGGTGCTTACGATTCTGGATAAGACACGAGTTCTCGCCCGCGCACCCCCCCCGCCGATGCGCAACTCTCGAGAATCACGGAAGTGCCGCGCCAGTCGCGCCTTGGGAGCACGAACAGGGTACCCGGGAAGAGGTCCAGAGCTCCTGGGGCTGCGGAATGAAGCTGGAAAGTGCCACGCCTGCCACGCTGTGTCACATACGCCAGGACACTTCGACACAAAGCCAGGAGCGTGACCTCAATCGGCCATTTCGCCTTCTATGTGAGCCTGCAACCATAGCGTCCCCACCCCCAGCACACCCCCTTTGGCGTCGAGGGAAATGCCACGCCTGTCACGCCCCGCGAGCCTGCAACGCATCCCCCACCCCCAGCGCACTCCCTTTGGCGTCGAGGGAAACGCCACGCCTGCCACGCCCTGCGAGCCTGCAGCGCATAGCGCCCCCACCCCAAGCGCACCCCCAGTGGCGTCGAGGGAAATGCCACGCCTGCACCGCCCTGCGAGCCT